ACAAAAAGATGACAGAATGTTCGCCTTCAAATTCGTAAAGTCGAAGTAAAGCGATTTCAGGGAGTTTTGGCTTCATCGTTTTCCGCGATTAGCCTGCAATGCAGGCGTATTTTGGCGAGAGAGCACAATTCAATCAAGCGAGCTCCATCTTGAATTCAACCTCACAAGAGGCGTGGGGAAAGATGAAAAGGTGTCCTAGGAAGGTAGGAGTGAGGGGAGCGAAAAATACGCCCGCTGGTAGTCATTGTTTGTTCGAGAAGCGCCGTTCGTCCATGAACAGAGTCTGTGATTGGTGCGATGTGGACCTAATAGATTGAAGCCTGCCAATAAACTGTAAATCGATATGTTGGAGTCATACAGACCCCCAAAAGATTTAACGAATTAAAAGACTAGGTCCGCAATGCGCACTTGTGGTCTTATGCTTAGTTTTATTCCATTCAGTTGGAGTGTTGTTTTTAAATGTCAGTATCTGGGAGTTGAATTGCTACAAGTGAGGAGGTAGAAAAGTCGTTATAAATTTCAAGTGGGAAATTTATGGTAGAACGCTGTTTACTTACCTAATTTATCCTCTAATAATAATAATTTATTTAGCTCTTAGTCCTTGTGAGACATAACACAACAACAATATCTCAATTTAGCCCTATTTCGTGCAGTGCAGCATGTTGTACGTGCCTTGTCCTATGTGAGACAGAGTTTTAACTCTCTGAGCTCGGCACTATTTTCACATGTCAAGTGAACTTGTACGTGTAGTGTCAAGATGTTTTGATTTTTAAATACTTGACAACATCTATAACTGAGTCCCGCAGGGTTGTCGGTTAGTTTTGAGTAGCAGCTGGTTCATTCCAAAAAGTAGACGGCTAAGGTTTGCATGACACAGCACGAGAACGAATGTCGTTCTCTGGATTTAGATACAGTTTTGAACGACTAGTAGAGTTATACTAAAACAATTAGATTATTCGCTCTCGATTTCTATACATAACAGTTGACTCGGGCTGCGCCCTCGGCAACTATCACGCGATAGAAATCTGGAGCTCATAATCTAATTGCTTAGTAGATAGCGACTTATAGCGAGTAGCCTAACAGTGTACGGTTGTTAACAAAATGAAGGCCGCGTTTTCGACGTGTCTGTAAAGAGCATTTAGAT